TTTTCATTGCAGATGGCATTCCAAAGGTTCACGCTTGGGTTGCGGTGGAATGGTTACACGGAAGAGACCGAAAAGGGTGTAAGTTACGTCGGTGGCAATTTTCATAAAATGAAGGTCCGTACGAGACCGATGCTTGAAGAGCTCCACCGAATGTGCACTCAGATTACCTGCATGGATGGCAGTAGAAGAGTTGATCGAATGGTGTATCGATATCCAAACAGACATGACGGGTCGCTGTGGCATGAGGAATTCCTCCTTACCACTCAGGAGGACGTTGATGCCATGGTCCAATTTTTGACCACCAATACAATTAAGCAAGCGGAGATGTTCGTTTACACCGAGGCCGTCGAAGGCAGTGTAGGTCATTCTGGAGATGGCCAAACATCTGGTATCCACGGTGGGAGTGTATTATACGAAGATACTCCCCACCAGGATTTCCAAGCCTCGAGTTGGAGTCAGGAGTATCATCATGGAACTGGAGGAAGTCATCAATCCTTCCATTCATATGAAGAAGAAGCTCAACAGGAGGATTACAACCAACAAGCAGGCTACCAGTACCCACCCGAGTACAACTTCTATCAAAGCGGTGTTAGTTACCACAACTACCATTACGGAGCTAGTGGAGGTCAAGGTGCCTTTCATGCTGATAATCAGATGGAAGAAGAGGTCAATCCAAGTCCAGTTAGTGACCATGAGGTTGAAGAAGAGGAAGGCGAAGTTAGTGCAGACAGCTCCGATCCGCTGGAAGGTGCTGATGATTCCGGTCCAGATTCAGACGCAGATGGTGATGAGGTACCTCACGACCGTGTACCTATTCCATACTACAATCACATTAAAAGTGAAGATTGGTATGTTGATGCCGACATGGACCCGCCAGATGTGCCATTATGGGGTCCACTAACTGGCTTTACGAAGGGCCAACAATTTGCAACGAAGAATGAGGTTCGACACGCTATTTCCACTGAAGCAATGACTCGGAGTTTTGAATGGCAGACAACCCATTCCGACACAAAGAGGCTGATGGTTCGATGCAGAAACCACAATGAAGGATGCACAGCTAGGGTCCGGGCCATCAAGAGCAAGAGAGTCGGTCATTGGGTCATATCCCGTGCGGTGAACACACACACATGTGTATCATCAATAACATCCCAAGGCCATCGACAGTTGAAATCAAGGGTGGTTTCCGCGGCTATCAAACATCTAATTGAGGAGCAGCCCGACCTGAAGGTGAAAACCATCATCGCCCACATTTCTAGTCGTTATGGTTATATCATTAACTACAAGAAAGCGTGGCATGGGAAACAGAAAGCAATGGCTGCCGTGTTTGGTGACTGGGAAGAATCATATGCATTCCTTCCCAAACTGATTTTGGCGTTGGAGGTGTCTAACCCTGGAACCATTTTCTCGCCTCGCTACCAAGATGAAGAAATTCAATCGCCGGTGGCTGGTAACAATCGCCAATTCAAGCGTCTTTTCTGGGCCTTCAAGCCATGTATTGATGGTTTTCCATACTGTGTTCCTGTGATTCAAGTTGATGGAACATTCCTTACCGGCAAGTACAAGGGTACTCTACTGATTGCCAGCGGAGCAGATGCAAATAGATTAGTATATCCATTAGCCTTTGCCATTGTGGAGGGAGAGAATACCGATAGCTATGGATGGTTCTTCAGACAAATTCAGCTCCATGTCACCAGACGGACGAACTTGACTATCATCTCAGATCGCCACGCCGGTATACGGGCTGCTATTTTAGGCTTGGATCCAGCCTGGAACTGGTCACAGAGATGGTGCATCCGGCATTTCAAGAGCAACTGGAACCATCATTTCAAGCGAAAGAAGCTTGCTGACAATCTATGGTGGATTGGTAAGCGTTCTAATTAATTGTCTATCTGTAAATTTTTAAAACTGTATACAAGTATTGAGTGTATGGTTACAATATAACACTTATTTAGACTCTTTATAAAGAAATGCATGTCTAAGGAAATGGGGACTTAAGCGATCATCATGATCCCCCCATGACCTGGGAAAATCGGGTTCTAAGCGATCCTCGGATCCCCCCTTTTTCTGTCAAAAAGACTGTGTTTCTAAGGAGATGTATACCTCTCCTAAGAGTCTTACGAGTGTACTTGTATTGGCAATAAGGTCGATCTTGCTTTTCTCACGTTTTTTTTTATATTCATCAGCTGTCGCGTACCAAGAGAAGAAATTTAAAGAGAAGATGCAGAATATCCGTCAAATATGCCCTGAAGGTGCGCAGTGGCTTGATCAACATGACCTTGAAATGTGGACTTTTCATAAGGACGGAGGTCACAGATGGGGTATTGCCACAACAAACTCAAGCGAGAGTATCAACAACGTCTACAGGGAATGTCGTGCACTCCCCATCTCTGCAATTGTTGAGATGACATTCTGGAAAACAAACAGATGGTTCGTCAACCGTCTCCACTGGTGTGAGAAGAGGGAGGCACTCGGTAAGGTACACTCCGATTATGTATTGAAAATAATGGAAAACGATAATCGGAAGAGCTCTCGTCACACAGTCACTGTGATGAACCGTCATGCTGGCGAGTATTCGGTCGAGACTGGGCACTGGGAGGATGGGAGACGTGGTGGTCATCTCCATGAAGTCACCATAAACTTTAGGACTAAAAAGGGGGAGTGCTCCTGTCAGAAGTATCAGGGTAGAGGGATACCATGTTCTCATGCAATGGCTGCAATAAAGCACAGGAGCAAAGACCCTCGTCATTTCGTTAGTCCGTTCTTCAACATTGACTCACAAAAGAGCAGTTATCGTACTAGTTTCCGTGCATTGCCGGATGAAGCTTACTGGCCAGTTTATGAGGGTATGGTCATCATTCCACCAATCGGTCTTAGGCGGGAAACAGGGCGCCCGCGGAGAAAAAGGATTCCAAATGAAATGGATCAAAGTGGAAGACCACCGCGAGGGCCAAGGCGGTGTTCCATATGCAAAGTACCCGGTCATGATAAACGAACATGTCCCAGACCAATTGGTCCTCAAAATGCTGGGCCCGATGTGGATGTCCCGGATAATGGCGCTTAGATTGATTTTATGCGTGTGTTCCATCTTTGTGTATTAATTTCAATGGTTACTCTACTTGTATGTTGTGTGCTTAAATGACATTGGAGATTTGCACAATTAACAAACTTTGGTGCAATTTTTCCATCTTTTTTAATAAAACACATCACGAACACAAACGCATTACTTTGTTCAACTTAAGTTAACTTGTACCATAACTTCACCTAAAAACACCATTGTTCAACCTAATTTAAACAAAACATAACTTGAATTAGAAACACCATTGTTCAACTTAATTTAAACAAACACCACAGCTTGAAATAAAAACACCATTGTTCCACTTAATTTAAACAAAACCAATCCTTGAAATAAAAACACTCATGCATTGTTTCGACGGTTTGCCCTCTGCTTCCTTGTGCGATGGGCGACTGGTCCACCGGGTGTAGACGATGGTGGAACGGGTGGCAGATTCCTATTCGCCGTAGAAGCGCGATCCTCCGTGCTATGCCGCCTCGGTTCCGTGATAGGTGGCCCCTCCGTCTGCGGTCGAGGGCTATCCATGCTCATACGGTGGGGAGATGATTGCCAATGTTGTTGCCATTGTTGTTGTGGTCGAATCCAAGGTGTGAAGTCTTGTTGTGGAGTGGATTGCCATTGTTGTTGCCATTGTTGTTGTTGCCATTGCTGTTGTGGTCGATGCAAAGGTGAGAAGTCTTGGTGGGGACTTGAGTATGAACCCTCGGCCCAAGTAGCTGAAGATGTGTCGTCATGAAATGTAGTTGGCCGTTGTTCATACTGGAAACTGGGCCGGAAAGTGTACTGGAAACTTGACCGCGGATCATACTGGCTTCCGGGCGTAGGGCCGTACTGAGTACTCCCCCCTTCACCACTGCACACCTCCAAAGGAGTAGGCGCCTTCCACGCCTCAATCGGTTTGATCTCCGGCACGTGAGGTCGATCCCTCACAGCTTTGTTTTGCCTTCTATGGACCGGCGGAGGCACCGGGTCAACATCAAGCGTCACCGGCGGCGGTCTCATTGGGGGAACTCGAGGGTATCGCCTATGGTCACGTCCGCGCGCTCGCATACAGCCAAGGAGATTGTTCGCTATCCTTCGAATCATCCCCACCTCTCGACCCGCCGCCGAATGATCTGCGGTCCGTGCGAGGTCGTGGATTCGCTCGATGCCATCAACCTAAATCGAACAAAATAACAAAGTTAGACATTTAAAAAATAATGCACCGCATGACTAAACAAATAAAAACTTAATTTCTTACCAAAGCTCCGTCCGCCGCTCCTTCGGGGGTCATGTAACGAACAGATTGTCTTCGGTAGGTTTCCATGTATGGGTCATGGTAGCCCATCCGCCCCACATGAGATGCCGTCACAATATCCTGATCTTGCCTAACATTCCACAGCCGGATCAATTTCTTATACTCCTCCGGCCAATTAGTAGGTCCTTGTCGACCATCTTTCCTGTGGTACCCCTTCTGACTCTCTGGGACATCCAATGGTATGCATTGCTCACGTCCAAATTGTCGTAGACATCGATCCGGCAAGTGCCACTCCACTATGTGGTGGCAGATTAGTGGAACTCGGGTGCACCATTGACCGGGATGTAACGGGAACTTATGGACGTGATGCACAACAATCCGTTCTGGATACGGATCGAACTTAAGCTACGAAGGTTTAAATAATAAAACCATTAAGCAACATAATAATATAAGTTAAAAAAAGTAGGGTTTTAATAGCGTATTATGATGCTCACCTCTGCTTCCCATAGGTGATCAAGCCTCCTACGATACTCCTCCAGCTTATGCGATCCTAGATTGTCGCATGTTGTTTCATCAAGCCACCTATTAATATGGACAAGTACACAATGTTAGTACCTTAAAAAAATAGCTCGTTACAACAAACTAAATTAGTAAAAAAAATGTGAGAACTATGAGTGGGATAGAAGATATTTACCTACAACCATAAGCTTCGTGTCGTAGGGGATGATCGGGTCCCCAATCCTTGTCGGGGTCTACCTTCGGCGCAATCCATTGCAAATGCTCCCAAGCCCAAAATTGGACGATGAACATTGCCCCATCAATCTCCTTCACCGCTCTCGCACTAGCATTACATAGGGATCGGTAGAGCTGGGCTAGGCAAGCAGATGCCCAGCTCAAGTTTCCCATATCATCCCAACTACCAAGTATGATCTTCAACCATGAATTGCTGATTAGGTTGTTGGATTTCTTGGGGAAGAAAACTCCTCCGATCATGCCGAGGATGTAGATACGTGCATAAATGTCTTTATCGCGCTCCGAACTTTCCTCCGTGAGGGGAATGCCTCCGAACTCAGGGTTGTGCTTACGCCTTATCTCCGCCGTCAACCACGTGATGGATACTTGGCCCTTGGACAATGGTGGATGACCATCCGCATCGTGATCTCCCTTTTCTGGCGGACACAACCCGGTGACCGTCCATATAAAATGTTGCCAACCACTCATATTGGCAACAACTTTAGGTGGTGGCGTAGAGTCCACACAAACAACATCACCATCGATGGGGAGATCGGTTAGGATGGCGATGTCCTTAAGTGTGATGGTGCACTCGCCTTCACGAAAATTGAAGCAGTGTGTCTCCTTTCGCCATCTCTCTACCATCGCCGTGATGAGTTGTCGGTCGATCTTAATTCCATTGAAATGCCTAATCGAATCCAATCTTGCCCTTTTTAGAAAGGGCAAGATGACGTCGTTCCATTCAAGCACATTCGTTGTGCCCCTATAGCGGACTATATGGTATGCATCCTAGAGAAAAAATTAAATTTCACTATAAGTTGATGATTTATACATATATAAATATATTATAAGATACAATTTATATATAAATCAAGGTTGTTTTAGAGAAATATACATTATCTAATAAACATTAATTTTAACATAACTAAAATAATTTTCTAAGATGCAATATTAATTAAATCAAGCGATTTTATAGAAATATACATTATCTAATTAACATTAATATTAACATAACTAAACCAATTTTTTAAGATGCAATATTAAATTAAGAGATTTTATAGAAATATACATTATCTAATAAACATTAATATTAACATAACTAAAATAATATCCAAATATATTATTTTGTTAATCGTATTGATTATTTTCAATAATTTAAAGCAATACAAGTACACTCGTAAGACTCTTAGGAGAGGTATACATCTCCTTAGAAACACAGTCTTTTTGACAGATAAAGGGGGGATCCGAGGATCGCTTAGAACCCGATTTTCCCAGGTCATGGGGGGATCATGATGATCGCTTAAGTCCCCATTTCCTTAGACATGCATTTCTTTATAAAGAGACTAAATAAGTGTTGTATTGTATTGATTTAAATTATTGAAAATAATCAATACGATTAACAATTAAGTAAATTATTGTACAAACAAATAAATTACTTTAACAAAATACAAATTACAAGTGATGATAAATAATATGTACCTTGTGGTCGTTCCAAACGTCTCTTGAACGATGATTTGCTTGATCGTATAAAACTGTCGGATCAATCGGTCCTTGCTCAACATAATATCGTTGATTGAAAATATCAACATCCGGCCCAACCTACGATAGCATAACAATAACACAAATCATTAGTATATAAATTAAATAAATCATTATAACAACAACAAACAATTGGGAAAAATGAGTACGTACCGTTTGATAATCATAAAAAAGGCCCTCTTCTTGAGCGAAATCGGCCATTCTCTCGGAATCCGGACAGAGGTTCGACGGTTTTTTAGTGAAAACCAAAGAAAAGTTTTTCGGAGGCAGATCGGACTTAGGCCGCAACCAACAAAAAAACCTTTCTAAGGTTTTTGGGTGGGGAGGGGAGGGGAGTGGAGTGGATAGGGAGAGGGGAGGAGAGGGGGGAATGAGGTTGGTGTGCAGAAAAGTGAAGGGGGAGGGGGTTTATATAGGGTCTAAACCGCGTCCCCGAGGGCCGATCCGTCAATTTTCCCCAACGAAAACCGCGCCTCGGAGACGCGGTTTGCTTCTCCCGAACAGACAACCGCGCCTCGGGGACGCGGTTTCCTTTTCCCGAACAGTCAAACCGCGCCTCGGAGACGCGGTTTACTTTTCCCGAACAGTCAAACCGTGCCTCGGAGACGCGGTTTACTTGGCCGACGCAGATCGCCTAGCTGGCACACGTTTTGGCCGTTAGACCGCTCTCCCATCAAGCGGTTTGATGAAGCGCCACGTGGACAAGCGGTTTGACAGCCATCCAAGGTCAAACCGCTGCTTGGTGACGCGTTTTGTGATGAAACCGCGCCTCTAGGCTGCGGTTTCATTGAAAACCGCTCATCAGGGGGGCGTTTTAAATTAACGATGGTATTTTTGGAAATTATTTGGTGAGGGTGGTATTTTTGTAATTTTTTTTTTAAAACAGTGGTAGTTTTGGATTTTTCCCCAAAAATCACTCTATGGAACCTCAAAGAGATGCAAAATGGTGATTTTTCATTGTAGACCAAAAGAAAGAAAGTCACACGGCTCAAAGGACCGAATAAGGGGTTTGACACAAGGACGGTCAATTTGGTCGTGGGCTAATCCTATGCCTCCATCATCCTAATTAGTGACAACATGAATTCTACACATCATGGAAGAGTGATATATCGAACAAGAAAGAAAAGAGCAGGCTCAAATCTCACATGGCTATCTATATGCTCTATCTCTCATTCTGATTCACTGAACTAGATGCATAAATGACTGTAAGAAAATGAGTGATCAATCCAAATCACAGTTGGTAAGCAAACAATTGAAAAAGTGAACCCCAACACAACTCTACTGCATGTCTCAGTCATCATTATAGGTTGTCTTAGTCACAAGCAAGTTATCATGCATCAATACTGATAACACTATATTTTGACATGTTTTTTCCATCATTTCTTGACCGTTTGAGCTTGATTTATCTCTCTCGTGGCCTATTTTAGCTAGGTTGTGTTAGTTTATGATGTTTTAGGTCCTAGTATGTGAATGGGTAGGAAGGAGCGAGTTTTAGGACATTTTGGAGCGAACAGGCAGAGAGCATGGGAAAGTTACGGCCAGACCTTGAAAGTTACGGTCTGGATCGTAACTTCTCCAAGGCTCCCATAAATCTGAAGGGGAGACGCCAAGGATCCAGATGCTATCTGAAAGTTACGGCCAGACCCTTGAAGTTACGGTCTGGACCGTAACCTCCTCCCCATGCCCGTAACTCTGAGGAAGCGGATGCCAAATGTTCCAGAAACCATTTCAAAGTTACGACCCCCTCCTCAAATTTACGGTCTCAACCGTAACTTCCTCCTTGAAGCCTTAACTTTTGGTTTACGGAAGGCTTTGAAATGTCACCATTTTGAGGAAGTTACGGGCTAGCAAGCAGACTTACGGCCGTAACTTTGGTCGTAACTCGCGAAAGTCCAACATATAAAAGGGGAGCTCGGGAAGATTGCACACAACCCGGATCTTTGAGTTCTAAAGAGCCGAAAGAGAGCCCTAGATAGAGAAAGTGACGAAGGACAACCCTTGGGCAAAGATTGGAGCGATCTGAAGACCTCCTAGCTCGATTTTCATTGTGGGCATGATGATTTCATCTCTTAGCATGATGTTCCACGTCTCTCCATGGAGTAATCTTCCCTTTCATCTGAGTATGAAGAACCCTAGTATTGTATGCTAGGAATGGTTGTATGAACCCCATTTGCGAATGATTGATTTGATATATTCAATTGAGGCATTAATCAGAATTGCATGAGTCATGATCAAACTTTTGTGATTCCTTCTTTAACCTAGAATGATAGGCTCTGCATAGGTTAAAAGCGCAACCTTAAATAGAAAGTGGTTAATCGACTGTTTTAGTTGAGAAGTCGATTCAATGCTTTGTACTCGAATCAAAGCCAGTAGAGGAAGTTATGTGTGTTTTACCTCAGTTAGTTTATGTCAGTGGAGGTTAGTCGCTCGCCGGGTATTCAAACCGAGAGGGGAGAGGGTCTAGATAACTTTAGTCGAGAGTCTATACCAGTTAAGAACTTTCCACAGTATATCTATCAATCTGAGTGAATTGGGAATATATAATCTGAACTAGCTGCATACTAGGGGGAAACATACCTGGATGACCTTTAGTACTTGAGAAAAACCAGAACATTACTTGTCTTTGTTTTCGTAGTTTCAATCACTTCACTATCCCTTCTAGATAATAAGAAATTCACGGACATCTAGGACCCGGGTTTGAAAATTATTACTTGAACCACTATACTGCATTTCCACTCTACGATTACATTTGGTCTCATTTTGTTGTCGTGTCGTAGCGATGCACCACATAAAACCATAGTGCCAATATGATTATGCAAACATCAGTACTTGGAGCCCTCAAATCTTGAGATTCGAACAGTGGACTAGGCTCCAAACACACACACATAAGTTCCAATAAGCACAAAGCACACCCCCACACTTAAGTTCGACATTTCACTCAATGGAGCAGAGGGAAAGGAAATGATGTTACTAGGAAGTGACGAGTGCATGCGGTGAGTGGAGAGTGGACCAACCAGGAACAAGAGACTGGAGGGGGCCCTTCCAAAGGTACAGAGTTGGAGTCATCAAAACACATTGGGTGATACAGAAAACAACCATAGTTCCAAGTGGAAAACCAAAAAAAACACGAGCAAACACGGGCAGGGACACGGCCGTGTTCCCTGACCTGGTCGCCCGTGATTTTACAGCCAAGCACAGATGGCGACAAGGCAGAACCACGGGCAGACACGGGCAGAAACACGGTTGTATCTCCTTTGTGTCACGCCTGTGCTTTGTATGCCGAGAGCAACATGGCAGGCTGGATGAGAACACGGGTAGGAACACGGCCGTGTTCTTGACTGTATTTTCACTGTCGAGCCTGTTCTGCTGTCCCCAAAACACCACATTTTCACGCAATCACCACGTCTGGGCTTTGGCTAAAAAATCCATAGAACCATAGACAAAAATATGACACCCGAAACCACTGGACCGACTTCTGAAAGACTCAAAGCGGACACAAAGACTCAAAAGACCCAATAATCAACAGAGACAAAGGATAGAAATACAAATTAGGTGGGGTGGTTCCCCACAAGCGCTTCTTTACCGTCTTTTAGCTGGACGCCAATGGAGAATGCTAAGTGCGGTGTAAGAACATGTGTCTCCAAGAGCGGATCCACATCACTGTTGAAGTACAGTTTCAGATGGTGGCCATGCACACGGCGGGTGTGGCCACCACCACATGTCAACTCGATTTGACCATCCGGCAGGATGCACGCCCGTGAATACTCAGATGGCCAGGGTGGTCGTGGCTTGGGAGCCGAGGTCAGCTCATAGTTGTCCAACTTTCTTTTTGCCAGGCTTGGATGCCTACATGTTTGGCCGCCACTCCTCCTTCAGCTGTTTGTTCGATAGCAGGCAGAGCAAGAGTGGCGGAGAAGGGATGGATGTGGAGCCCTAGGTCCCTCTACTTCTGCGGAAGCTTGTTCTACAGAATGCCCGAGCAATCCTCGTCGAGCTCCATAGTGGACAGCTCGCTCAGCTTCTTCTTATAAAAGAGATCTTTTAGGAACTTCTCACACTTAGGCATCTGAGATAATGCCTCCAGGAAGGGTGCTTGAACATTCAGT